TGCACCCACGTACCTGTTGCTTCTTCATCAAAGCAAGCAAAAGCATTCCTGATTACATCCTCCGGGTCGGTGCCATTTAACTTCTCACCAAACATGGTGAGAAACATCGTGAAGTTGATGGGGCCCGGAGCCTCATTCATCATGGCATCCAGGTATTCATCTGTTGGATTCTTTCCTACAAATAAAGGAATTCATACTTGGCTTAGCTGAAAACTAAATTACTGAAATAGTAAGGTCAATACAAACTGGGTGTTAAAACAAACGGAGTGTAACAATGAGACACCACACCTCCCATATCCCAAACTCTCAGCATTTTGAATTTTGCAGCACAAATTTGCCTGGCAAGCACAAACAGCAAAGGCACAATACCAAGGGAGGCGAGCATGTCGTGCAAGTCCTCTTTGTCAATGAAGCCATCCCTGTTCTGGTCGATCATGTTGAAGGCCTCCTTGAATTCCTGGATCTGCGACTGATCAAACATCGCAAATACATTGGAAGTGGCGCGCTGAGGGCGCTTCTTGGTGGTCTTTGTCTTTGCCCTTTTGCTAGACATGGTGGCTGTTGGTTCTAAGGAGACAGAAACATATCCAAGATTTAGCCTCATCAAATCACACTGCAAGTGTATGGGTAGTATGTGTAGTTTCATGTTATTGGCATATACCCCAAAGTACGCATTTTTTCCGTATCTCCTGCTCCATTTTCTTTCAGACTTCACTTCCTATTCAAGCATAAAGCCTTGGAGGATTCAGGGACCAGCACTGCAGGCCAATAGCAGGCTACATCAAAAAACCCAAATCAAATCATAGCTCTTGAAATTAAACTCACACAGTGCTTGCATTGCTGATTCAATACTCCACCTGCATCTTCCACAAATTAAGATGACTACATATTTGGGAATTGGGAGGCACTGTTGACATTGAAGGATATGTGCTGCTAAACTATCACAGTAGTTAAATAGATCAGACAGTATGCTAAACTAACATTTTGGAGGGGAAAAAATGTATTTTAGGCTCTGAATAGCATTTTGTTAGACTACCTGCTGTTAAGAGAGAGAGAGCACCGACTTAGTTCAAAAGCTCTACAGTGCTATTCCCTTACACAGTGCAACTACTTCTACACAACACATGCAAATGTCAGCATACTCTTTTAAAATTTAATTAAAGGCATAATAGCTTCAAAAATGTGGAGACCATTTATTTTAAACAACCAATCCTTAGAAATATTTATGTATTTTTATAAATTTTCAAGTATCACAGGTATACCAATGTCATTGTTTCCCTTGAAGCTGTCAAATGAAGAAATAAATGGTAGATTATTATATATTATAACACTAATAGATTCAGGGTAGAAATGAAGCTTTTAAATTAACTATATCTCTTTATCTGGGAAGATACATGTAGTGTTCCAATTAAATGTATGACAGCACAAACTCGAAAAGCTGAGTCATTCACTGAAAGGCAAACACAAAGCCCCCAAGACTGCTTTTGGATCAGAAGTTAGACCCTTTTTAATGCTGTTTCCAAAAGTCTCATAATCTCTGCTTGCATTAGCTAAAACTACAGTGTAATTCATACTGCCATAATCCTTCATAATACTCAAATGAAGTGCTATGCAAATGAGATTCCTTCCATCCTTGACTCTGAATTTTACAGAAAGCACCTATAGCAAGTGTTTGCTGAAAGAAGAAAGATTTAAGCTTATATTCTGAAATTTACACTAAGTATTAATTTTATAACTTAGAAACAAATTATGTGGTCAGAAATGCAATGCTAATCAGAGTCATAGCACAGTTCTAACTCTTTCTGAGATAGTTTGCTCAAAGACAGAATATTTTCTGTTAAACTCCTGAAAAACAAGACTGAAGTCACTAACTGGGATTCATCCTTAAAAAAAAAAAGGGAGTAAAATTACGCAAAGTAACTCCCTTATACAAGCAACCCAATATGCAGGCAAAAAGCAGTCATTTTTGGGTTTTTTTTTAACTAAAAGGAAAGACATTTTACCTTGCTTTGTATTAGATACCTGACAGGGTGTACCAAGCATCTGGATCATAAAAGGAAATTCCATGGTTACGTCCTTCTCAGTCTGTCCACACAGACAGCTACTGATTTCCCCTGCTAATTCCACACTTTTAAATCCTACGTGCATCTACAACGTTCTTCTGACGTACAAAACAAACCATTATGTCCTGAACTAAAAATAGCCCGTGAAATGCAACTGCGCATCGCTCAACATCGCAGACGTTCTCTTCATTGCACTCACTAACCACGAGCTAACCGAGATGTCTGGCCTCCACAACACTGCAACAAATAAATGTGAACTCCTGACTTAGAGATATTTATGTAGACAGCTGACAACAAAGGTAGTTTGCTTTCAAGCTGCAGCCAAGGGTTGTGCATAACTTTGGTGGTTTTCTTACTGCTGTAAAAACCCTCAGGCAAGCTCTCATTTAACTCTGGATTATTGATTAGAAGTTCCAAAACTACTCAAACACTATCTTCTAATAACTCCTCTCTGAAATAATGCAATTTTCAGGATATGGCTCATTCAATATAAACAAAAAAGTTTACTCTGTACATGCTGATACTGACCAAATTGATTTTTGCCTTTTTACTTCTATATATCTCCATGTTCTTTATATATTTGCAGCTCTGTAGTCTATTATTGTATTCATAGCTAGCATTTTACCTACTCTATTAGAAAGACAAAATACATTCCCTAGAAGCTCCTAGGCCTGGGGATCCAAGGTTAGATTCTTTGGGAACCCAGATCAAAACGGCTTCCCAACTTTTTCATAAACAAAGTTTAGTTCCTATCTAAAGGTGAAGGGGCTCAGAAAAGGGTAGAACCAGGGGGGGAATTACCTCATCACCTATGTCTCTAATTGGAGATTCTTGTCAGTTATGCTAATTTGCTGAACATATAAAATTGTATGCATTTGTTACAGTATGCATCTTCAGTGCTTTTTTAATCCAGCATGTTGTGCACCATAAGGATCCTTATAAAGGTAATCCCTTTTTATCACCTGTGTCTGGCTTGTAATTTTAGGATCAGTGAAAAGTGCTGCAAAGACAGTGTTCTCAGCAAGTTACTACCTGTAATTCCCTCACCTACAATTCAATCCTAAGCAAGAGGAGGTAAAAAAAGCAGACAGTCAGCACATTCTTTTTAATTCTGTTGAGAAGATGACCTATCAGAGTACATTTTACCTGAAAAAATTTAGGAAGTGCCAATGCTTGCATTACTATTTTCTAAGTTTCTCTGAACCAGGCTTGAGAACTCCTCCAGTCCAAAAGAGCTGTCAGCCTAGCTACAGAGAAACATCAGATCTCACAGGACTGCAGTGCCCTTCAGCACAGGTTTGGTGCAGCTATGCCTGAAACACTGGACTCAGCTCCAGGAATCTCTGTGAGAAAGAGGGTGGTACATTTTGGAATATGTTCAGAAAACCAAAGTCATCAATCCAGTTAGCCAAAGAGATCAATTTATCATTTAAAAGTTCCAAAACTGTTTGCACTTCTTGTTATCCAACAAAAACACCCACACCTAATCAAATGCTTTTGTAACTGAAATAGGGTTAGTATAGGCTGCAAGTAGAATTTCAGTAGATAAAAAGTGGGAATACTTCACATTAGATAGTGCAAGTCATGACATGCAGGTTTAGTCCCTGTTGTTTAATATTATGCTGCACTGAATGGTCTGGGTCCTGTTTTGGAAGCTGTCCAAGAAACTTCAAATGTAAAACCTTACCTACCTGTGAGACACATCATAAGGTATTTCTGAAAATGTCACCTTTCTTTAGGAAGATTTTCACATATTAAAAAAATAATAAATAGGTAGTAGCAGCACTGTGCTGCCCGTATTGTCATTTGTTAAGTGACAGTGGGTATCAGACCACAGAAACACAGTCATCCTGTGGTCCTTTCCTCTGGGAAAGTGATAAACCCTTGGAGAAAAAAACCCCAAGCAACTAAAAATTCTGAGCCAAGCCATAAGCTGTGAAAATTTACAGCCCACTCACTGTGGCGCAAGCTGCACCTGTTCAGAAGCAGTGATCAAAAGTTATACTTTAGAAAACACTCCCATGTTTCAAAACTATTTATATTGTAATAATTGAAAAATCTATCACTGAAAAAACCAAACTACCACACAATAAATCCCCAAACGCATAGCCAAGAAAGTCTCTACATGAACTTAGATAGAACATCAAACTCAAAAGTCAACCTTAAAGCTAAATCCCAAATTCTGTCCATGTACTCAATTATAGCATCACATACAGTCACACATCCATCACAATCTGGGTGGCAACAGGAAGAGGTAAGAGCAAGGTGCTCTCCAGCAGATCTGTGTCAAGGCTCAATAAAGAACAGATTACACTTCATAAAAGCAAGCTAGCAAAAACCAAACCCTACACTGTCCCACCCAGTCTTAAAAGCCACTTTAACACACTCATCACTAGTAAGTTTCCTAAAACCCTTGTACAGGAGTCACACTTGCCACAAAATCCAGCGACAGTGAGTCAACACAGTCTGTCTGCAAAAGAGAAAGTAAGGCTCAGAAGTGACCTTATGCTCTCTCCAACCACCTGAAAGTAGAGTGTAGCCTAATGGGGATCGGCCTCTTCTCCCAGTCAACAAGCAACAGGATGAGACGACAGTCTGAAACTGTGCCAGGTTTAGGTCGGCCATTAGGAAGAACTTCTTCACAGAATGGGTGATTAGACAATGGAATGGGCTGCCCAGGGAGGTGGTGGAGTCACCGTCCCTGGAGGTGTTTAAATGAAGACAGGGCGTGGCACTCAGTGCCATGGTCTAGCTCCCATGGTGGTCGGTCACAGGTTGACAGGCTGGACTCGATCATCTCGGAGGTCTTTTCTAACCTAATTGATTCTGGGGTTCTGAAAGCCGGGGAACCACTGCACGCAGTCTCCTGTGCGGCTATGGTTACTCCAGATGGTGAGCAGGAAGCGACAGACCCAGTCCCACTACCTCACCTCTTCCGACCGCAGCAACTCACAGCCCTGCTCCTCCCAGGCTCTGACAAAGGCGATAGAACACCCGCAGGGGCTCGATGTGGCCGGGAGGCTGCCGAGCCCTTCCGACACGGAGACAAACACTATCTTTTAACACCGGTTTCCTGAAATGATGCTCAAGGAGCTCGTCCCCGTGGGCACCGTCCCCGTGTCGTCAGGCCCTGCCCGGCTCACAGGGCGGGGTCGCGGGGCCCGGAGCCGGGGTCTCCCCCAGCTCCAGCCCGCAGGGCGGATCCCCATCAAGAGCAGCAGCACAAAGCCGAGGCCCGAGGGGAGCTGCGCCCGCGGCGGGCGACGCCGCAAGCGACCCCGGCTCCGCAAGCGACCCCCGGCCCGGCACCGCCCCACCCTCACCGGCCGCCGGCCCCGCGGCAGCGGGCGGAGCCCCCCGACTCACCTGGCGGCGGGAGACGGCACCGGCGGGGAGCGGCTGGAGCGGCACTTCCGGAGAGCGGAGCGGCCGCCGCCCCGCCGGGCAGGAAGGAAGCTGTGGGCGAGACCATCCGCGCAGAAGGGGGAGGTAGCGGCTTGGCCCATCGCTTCGGCGGTCAGGTGACATGAGCCGTGTCTGGGACAGGACCCGGAGCGGCCCGCGTGTTTCGCCTTCTTTTCCTGGAGTCTCTGCCTTCCTTGAAGGAGAAGGCCAGAACCACGAGCTCAGCCCCTCCACCCTGTGTGTGTGTCCTCCCCCCCTCCCCCGGCGACGCGTTGGTGCAGCGCGCTGTGGTCACCGCATTCCAAGGCCGAGGGGCGGAGGGAGTCGCGCGCCTGCCCTTGTAAGGCAACGGCGGGAGTTTCCTGCTCGCGCCGGTGGGCGGGGCCTCTCCCTCTCGCCCCGCCCCTCCCGCTCCGGCCCGGGGCGGGGGCTGCGCGGCCCTGCCGCCTGCCAGCGCTGCTCTGGCCTCCTGCTCCGCCGGCCCCAGGGACTCCTCCGGAACAACGCGTCCCCTTCTCGGCTGCTTGTGACTGCTGGGGAGGGGGGAGCCGGTAACACGGAGCCGCAGGATGGGTCAGGTTAGGAGGGACCGCAGTGGGTCATCTGGTGCAGCCTCTCCGCTCAAGCACATGGCACACGATTGCATCCGGACGGTGATGTCCTCCATCCAGTGAGGGAGACTCCAGACCCTGTTTGGCTGTGGTCATCCACACAGTAAAGAAGTTCTTCCTCGTATTCAGTGACACTTCCTGTACATCTTACTGCTTGGCACCACCGAGAAGAGCCCTTCTCTTAACGCTCCCTTCACATACTTATATTTAAAAGGTCCCCTCTCAATCATCTCTCCTCGAGGCTGAACAGGCCCTACTGCCTCAGCCTTTCCTCCAAGATAGATGCTCTAGTCGTTTGATCGACTTTGCAGCTCTGAACAGCCCAACACGTGGTATGGCACTGTCCTGCATGCTCAGCAGGTGCTAGTGTGTCTGGAAGATTCACAGATGATCACAGGATATCCTGACTTGGAAGGGACTTGCAGGGGTCATGAAAGTCCAGCTCCTGGCCCTGCACAGGATACCCCAAGGATCGCACCTTGTGCCTGACAGCATTATCCAAACACTCCTTGAACTCTGTCAGGCTGGTGCTGTGACCACTTCCCTGGGGAACCTGTTCCAGTTCCCAACCATCCTCTGGAAGAAGAACCTTTTCCTAGTAAATAATACTGGTTTTAAGCTGAGATGAAGAGGAGTATCCTCTTCATCCAATAAACATCATCCAAAAAATGGTGACCACAGCTCAAAGAAACAAACAGCATCATTTAATAAATAGATATCACAGCCACTGCCTATGTGGCTTAATTTATAACTTTGCATGTAGTTCTACTTACTTGATTTTTACAGAGTTTGCAACTGTATATATAAAGTCACATAGTCTGTGAAAGCAGTAAGAGATTACATGTATTTCTGATTTTTTTGAGGGAAATAACTGAGTGTCCAGGAGGTGTGCACCCTCCCATGGGCTCCCTTGGCAGAGAGCACAGCTCTGGGGGAACACCTCCTCTGCTCAGTACCTGTTATAAAAGAAGTAAGAGTAAAGAGTAAAAGAAGCCCCTTGCAGTTTTCCCCATCCCTGCTACTACTGGCAGTATTTTTTACCTATAGGGAATTGTGGTGGTTGCTGTCACATCTCTCACCTTTCCCTGGGCACTGGTAGGGTGCTGCAAGCTGCCTACTTGGGATGAGCCTGTTGTGTGATAACAGGCAGCTCCTGACCCTGAACATGTGAGTTTCTGTTGCAGAGTAGCTCCAACATGGATGCTGAGACAGGCTTTCCTCTCATGATCCAGAAATGGGTCACTCCTCCAGCTGCGTACAAAACCCATGCATGCTCTGCATCTTTTTCCATCTTTGTTTCTTACGTTTCTTACGAGTCCATGGCTTCCACAACTGGAGTCAGTGGTGAAATGGATGCATTATTTATCCAAGTTAGCCTTGATATGAGCAGAAATCAGAATATTTATTTATTTAAAAGTATTTTTTATCCAACAATTAAATAGATAATACAATGACAATGATTTTCTAATGTTTTCCTTCAAAAATCAGTACAGTACTAACTCAATGTTCTTTTTTATGACCTATACTAAAATAATATTTTGGCTTATGTGAAATTGGAAAAATGGAAATAACAAGCAAAGCCTAAAATGTCAGTAAAGAATATGTAGGAAGATCTGTCAGAATAATCCTTCATACTTGGGATCTGTGTCTGGAGAGTCCTGGATATGAGCAGCTGTCGGGTTTAATATTTAACATAATGAGTAATACTTAATATATTGACTAACCACAGAGGACTTTGGCCTGCACTCTAAATCACCATAGTTGATTAACCTTTTACAATTTTTTTTTTCTGAATAATTTCTTAGTGGGAAAGGGTGAGCAAGCTTTTATTTTGAGAAGTAGGGAGAAACTGACTCAGTAGATTTCAGGAATCTTTAAGAAATACAGAAGTAATATTGGCTCATGAAGAGCAATCCTGTTTCCACAAAAAGATAATTAACCAGTTCCAAAAAATTACAGGAGTCATTTGTTGCATTCTTCTCATTAAACCTCCTTCTACTGTATAAAAGTGCCATGAGTCTACTTTACAGACATTGAAACTGAAACACAAGTGAGCTAGACCACCATAAATGCTAAAGATGAGGTTTGGGAATGTAAAGGTACTGTCAATAAGTTAGGTCGTTTTGGAGTCTGCTTCCAACAGGATTTGGAAGTTTTGTACTGTGAGTTTCCATTATTTGCACACCTAAGTAATTTTAGAATCTGCTTTAAAGTGGCTTACCTGCTTCTTCCTCAGAGGCCAGAGGTCCCTAAAGAAAGAAATATTTCAAGGCTGCTTTTGAACTCAGTCTTGACTATATCCAGACTTAGGCTAATCGTTCTGGGTTGGTGATGCCTTTGTTTTTCTGGGTAGTCTCACTGTAATAAATATAGTATTAATGGAGCCACCAGGCTCCTCTCTTGCCTGGCAGGCATTCTGCCCAGCTCTGTGGTGATGTGTCTGGAGAAGGATCAGCTGTCCCAGGTACTCCTGGCCTCTGCCATCTCTGCATTTTGCATCTTCCATGTCTTTTCATGCTCTGTCATTATTAGGCTCTCCACTGCTGTGTTCTGTACACTGCTTAGGAACTCAACACCTTACTCTGCATGTGGGTTGTTATTTCCCACATACATCGAATACAATTTCCCTCCATGGAAATGACAAAAAAGTAATTCAGGCTGGCAGGAGAAGCCTAAAGTAAATAGATCAATTTACCAAGAAGAGTCTGCAGCCGCCAAAATCCTGGCTATGTGGGTATAAAGAGCCGTGATGTCGCATCTCTTCTTCAGTGTGTCTCCTCTGTGAGGATGCACTTAACTTGGAGAAGGATCCTTTAGTGAACTGCATACTTGTACAAATCCCCAGACACACAGTGGGACCTAGGGTATTCAAAGAATAAAAGCAAAGCACCATACTCAAATAAATGATTTACCTACTCTAACCGTAAGTCATATTTAGCAATTCGTCTAATGCCTTCCAAATGATTTGTTTTTGCAAGAAGTGAAATTATTACCAAAATAATTAAACAGCGCAACTCCAGCTCATTCTGGCTGGGGAAAGTAGGAGCCACATCATGGGCCTGGTGGTGCCGTTCTTAAGGCATTCTTTCCTAGGGTGGGAATTTGTCCCTGTACCTCAGTGATGTGCCTATGTGCCTCTAAGAAGCCAGGGGTGCTGTTACTTGCACCGCAAGCCGCCTGCTTACAGGTTCTGGGGAGACAGCATGATTCCCTCACCTCAATTTCGGATTCCCACCGTGACCTGGACACGCTTGTGTCGCTGCACAGCGCTGGGAGCCGGGATTCGGGGTTCGGGGTTCAGGAGCCGGGAGCCGGTCCCGTACCGCCTGTCACCAGCAAGGGGAGCTCCGCATTTGGGTAGGAGCCGGGAGACAGCCCGGCTCGGCTGCCGCCGCAGGAGAGGGGGCACGCTGCCAAATGGCATCAGATCGCTGCGGGGCTAAGTCCTGCTCTGGGCTGCGGAAGGAAGGGGAAAGACCCCACAAGTGCTGCGTGCTCTGGGGTGACGCTTGGGGCATTTCTGAGCTCCGCAAATAGTAGAATAGAATTACTGAATTATAGGATGATATGGGTTGGAAGGCACCTTTAAAGTTAATAGTCTAGTTCTTGGCTCCTGCCATGTGCAGGGACACCTCCTACTAGATCAGGTTGCTCAAACCCGTGTCCAGCCTGGCCCTGAACACTTGCAGGGATGGGGCATCCACAAATCCTCTGGGCAGTCTGTTCTGGTGCCTCACCACCCCTACAGGAAAGAATTTCTTCCTAATATTATCTTTTTTTCCTTCCTGATATTATCTTTGGGTTTTTTTTTTTTTCTTCCTAATATTATCTCTTATCTTCCTATTATCTGCCCTCTTTCAGTTTGAAGCCATCTCCCCTTTTCCTATCACCACATGGCCATGCAAAAAGTTCCTCTCCAGCTCCCTCTTCCCCCTCTAGGAACTGGAAGGCTGCTATAAGCTGTCCTCAGAGCCTTCTCCAGGCTGAACAAAGGGGAGGTCTGCAGTCCTCAGATCACTTTTGAGGACCTCTGGATCTGCACCAGAGCATGTCCTTGGCTTTCCTGTGCTGAGGGCCATAGAGCATTGCCAGTTGCAAGCAATGCCTGCCTCTACCAAGGGAAATTGTTTGGTATTTTACAAAGTGAGGGCCTGCTTTGTTATAGCTGTCCCTCTTTTTTCTGCTTCACTGCTGTTAATTGCTTTTTCCCAGTCATTGGAAACTAGAGAAGTACCCCCAAGCTCTGGTTGCTTCAGAAGCTTTCCTGTGAGCTGTGTGTATCACAGATGTTAAAACTTTATGAAACCTGACTTTGCAGTTTCACATGTGATGAAACCCTGAGCAGTCTGTCTGGTTTCGGTACAGGCTGGGAATCAGTGTGTTCATTTTATGGAAAGCTCAAATATTATTTTTCTAGGATGGAAAGCATTTTGTTCCAATCACAGCTACAAATGCAATAATAGTGATCAAC